AGGGTCTTCCTTCTTTGATTTACTTCTTGTTTCCATCAAAATTCAACTTGGATTCTGGTAAATCCCACTTCTGACACCAAATGTACCGTGGATGGACGAGTATTAAACTCTTTCTTCTGCTTCCAACTTTTATTCCACTCGGTACAACTTTAACTACGGTACAGGAACAAACTAACTTCTAAATTAACGTCAACTTCATAAACAATAACAATAAGAAACGGAAAACACGCGTTTCCGACTCGCGGGGTTTAGCCTCTTCTGCACTCGGACGCGGCTGTCACTTCACTGACTCCCCATGGTTCTCGTCCTCGCTTATATAGTTTCCTCCAGGTAACCCAGAAGGTTCTCAAAATCTCCAGTCAGTGTCATATTTGACAGTAAATGGGAGCCCCATTTGGGCCTAGTTGTACTGAAATACCATGAATTTCGATCCCCCATTCCAAACGTGAGTACCCCAGGCCATTTCCGTTACAATACTAAGGGACTCTGCACCATTAATTTCAAAGGTTTACTTAGTTTCGTTTTGTTCGTACCAGCACAAATGACGCAGAACGTTCAGCTCGTCCAAAAGAGGTTGTTACATGAATATTTGGATATGAAAAACCTATCCGCACGATGCTGCAATAAATTGGTATTTTCCAATCGTGACATTACTCGGTTATATTCCTGCTGACGTGGTGAGACATGCACCGATTTGTTCTCGGGTGGTAACCTTGTTCGGAGAGTATTTGAATAAACTTCTTTCCAAATCCTTTCAACATGCAAATGGTGCACTCTGCATATCTTCAGGGATTCTTGAAGTAGCCCAAAACATTACCCCGTCAATTAGACAATTAACAATTTTTATTTTTTTAGGACACCGAGCTCCACTCACTCGTGTTATATTTCATCCTGTATTTAGTCTCATGGTTTCTGCTAGTGAAGATGCCACAATGAAAATTTGGGACTTTGAGACCGGAGAATATGAAAGAACCCTCAAAGGTCACACTGACTCAATACAAGATGTTGCGTTCGATGCAACTGGAAAACTATTGGTAAATATTATTGGATACTTAAATCTCTATACAGGGTGATTCAAAATTGGCGTCATTCCTCTGAAGGCGTGTCTTGGGAGTACAGAAAAAATAGTAAAAAAATTAAATGTTATTAAAAAGTCAGATATTTGCAAAAAACTAGATAAACCAATGTTTTTTAAGGTAATCTGCCTAACTAATATTTCGTAAATACCTGTTCCTTCGTAATTATTAAAAACTCCAGTAACCCGATGGTTTATCGATATAAACATGAAGCAAAGAAAATAAAAGAGACAATAACATGCGTTGAGGTGTTAGGATGACGGTGTCGCCTTGCGGTCAGTGCTGCGACAAAACAGCCCCCCGAGTGCTGCCATCTTTTTGAGGCAAATGAGTGATATACCTAAATAGGTCACAACTGTTATCCAAAATCACCGATTAAGGGTTATGTATCATTGATAAAATAAAATCCAATTATTTTGCTAAAACACAAGTGTTCCCAAGAGCAAGACGTCATGCCCGTTTCACTCCAAACTGTTGTGTTCCAATCACTTTGAGTCTGGGCTCATATTTTGAGCAGCTTCTCGCGTTTGGTTAATTAACTGCTGCTAAATTTGAACCGGTGTTGTGTGAACGTGTTCTAGTGTCCTGTGCATATTACATACATGGTAGGAATGTAGGCCCTTCCTCGTAGGCCCTTCCTATCGGAACAMYTAAGTATCCGGKSTTTGGAAAAGTGAAGTTGTTGTGCAATGTTTCAAGTACTCCTGGAAGGCTCAGCTGCAATAATCTCTAATACCTGTTCCTCTAGGTCTGAAAACCGAGAACCTTTAGATTGTCCACTATCTGCTTCCATTTCGGGCCACTCGTCTAGTGGGTAGCCCTTTGCTGGTGTAAGTTCTTACAGCTTCTGCTGTGTTAGTGTGGCATTTTTCTATAACTAAGCGCATATTCGCAAATTCGCTGACATTTGCTGTTCGTTTGCATTTTGTAAAAGGAGCTTCAAAATAAGCCACAGTTTGACAAATGCTTGTTATTATTGAAAAAAGTTGTCAGTCAGTCTCCTGTTAATGACTACTACTATAACTATCTGTTAATGAGAAAAAACATCATTGCCGCTTTGACTTCTCATCAAAAAATTGTAGAAGAGTACCTTTTTAATATGAAAAATGTTCGTAATTTAACAAAAAGTTTTTATTTTTGACATTTTCGATTATTTTTTTTCGTATTCTCTAAATGGGCCCCCATATACCCTTAAAAGAATCGACGCCAATTTTGAATCACCACAATTCAAGGTGTTTCCTGTTATACAAAATAACCAAAATTTGCTATACAGTACGAGACAAATATAGAAAAACGTTTTTTAAAAAATTTCTAGAAGATATTAACGAGTTGAAAGTCGAATTTCAACTTCGTTATTAAGCGTTCTTTTGAAATGGCCCCATGTTTGATTAGTAGCCTATTGGAATCCTTAGCAAAAAATTACGTACATTGTTCATATTAAAAAAGTTCTCTTCTACAATTTTTTGATTAGAAGTCAAAGCGGCAATGATGTTTTTTGTCATTATCAGGTAGTTACAGGTACATAGCTTTTGTCAAGAATAACAAGCATTTGTCAAATTGTGACTTGGTTTGGAGCTTTTTTCACAGAATGTACACCAATATTGAATATGCGGATTTGCTATTAGTTACGGGGGAATGCCACATTAACATATCAGAAGCTCTAAGTACTTCTGCAACAATGGGCTAGATACACTGGAAAATTAGCTCCAGGGCGACAAGAGATGGTCGGGTTCCAGATATAGAGAAACAGGAGATAATTCAGGAAAGTCTTCCAGGAGTACTCAGAGCATTGCACAACAACTGACACTTTCCCAGGCACCAAATAAATACCGAGGAACGGCTAGATTTCTACCACGTATGTAAGATGCGTACGGCATATGGATACATTAAACCAATGGCTTACTGAACACTGGTATAAATTGAGCAGGAATTAATTAACCGTATAAGAGAAGCTGCTAAAAAATAGTGCAGAATAAGGTGATTAAACAGGCCTCACATGTTTGGAGTTAAAGATAGACATTTATGTTTATTTGCATATACATCAATTCGAGGTTATGATGACAATAAAGAACAATTTCTCGTTAGCAATATTGACATTTCGAAAAAAGGAGATTCTTACGTTTAACGAATCCTGTTACATTTACCGTTCATCCTTATCCATTTTATTGCCACTTTCTGTATTTTTTCCATGGTTACCGGAGTTTTAAATAATTTCAAAACCACAGGTATTTACATAATGTCAATTAGGTAGATTACCTTGAAAAACAATAATGCCGCCTTCCTGATATAGTTTTTGCAAATTTCGCAAAACCTTGGTAGGAATGGCGCCAATTTTGAATCACCCTGTATAAACGATAGCCCAAAAATGCTTCGTTACGGATTTACTGGATGTTGAAATTTAGTTTAAAAAATGCAAATGTTTTGCAATAACACATTTTTATACATGGCGTGGTCACCTGCACGCTACTGGCTATCAAATTTGTTAAAGAAAAAAATGGTACGCCATTGTATTTTAAATTATTGCAATTATTTTTCAAATTTCTTGTACTTGTTCCAAGTAAAAAAAATCTCTTCAATTTGTTTGCAACGACAAGCGGTTAGGTTTCTAGAGTAAGATTTGTGATCGGTGGGCCAAATATTCGACCCATTTAAATAGGAACCATCGTTTTTATTCGGTAAGATGAAAATTGATGTCCGTGTTTTGCTAAAATTATTAATTTTACATTTACTGCCCCGCTCGTTCTTGTAGTATGTGGCGCATACATAGCTCAGTTTCTAAAGTAAATGTTTTAAATGCTATATTATTTTACTTTCAACGACAATATAGAATCACAAATAGAGTTCAGAAATTAAAACTTCGCTCTCCAGACACTTATCAGCTCTTCTTCTGAGATGAGCTTCTGCACTTCGAAGCACATGTATCTATTTTCTTAGACTATTGGCAGCGACTATATGGCGATTCTGTAGTTCTGCTTCTGAATTGAGCTTAGGAAAGTTCTGGTTCTGGTAGACTTTGACTTACCCCGTCTCTAATAAAAGTAGATTCATCGGGAAATAGACTTCTGGAAAAGGATTCTGAATTCAGCCACAAAGCTTCAATCTCTTGTACCATCTCCGGGATGCAAGTGATGAACACGTCTCAGCTGTTAGACAATAAAACGAAAACTGCGTAATGTATTGTACCGTGGATGGCCGAGTATCAAACTCTTTCTTCAGCTTCCAACTTTTATTTACCTCGGTATAACTTTAAATGCGGAACAAACTAACTTAATTACCCTCAACTTCACAAACACTAACAATAACAAACGGAATACTCGGACTTCCGACACGCGGGGTTTAACGTTCACTCCCTCTCTGTGGTTCTCCTCGGCGCTTATATAGATTCTTTCAGGTAACCCAGATGCTTCTCGAAATCTCCAGAACAGGTGCGAAACTTCCCGCTTGTCAGTGTCATATTTGACAGTAAATGGGGCTCCCATTTACTGAAATACCATGAATTTTGATCCCTCCATTTCAAACGTGAGTACCCCAGGCCATTTCCGTTACAGTATCTTCAAGTGTTAAAACATTCAATTTTCCACCAACTTCACTTCACACCAACCACCTTCAACTCTTCGCAGGATATGTTTCTTTCTTCTTCTTCTCCTCCTCTAAGTGCCTTGTCCTCTTAGAACGTTCGAAATATTTCAACTTTTGTTTTTTAAGCACATCCACATTGCCCACGCTGTCCATCCAGGAAATCTTCAACATCCGTCGATACACCACATGTTCGATTTGTTGGCCCTGCACCTGCAAAATAGCTCCCCCAACCTGATTATCAACGACCATCCATTTGTTTTTTTTATGTTTAAATTTAATCCAAATTCTGCACAATTGTGCGCCATACGGTCTAGCCACGTGTTGTCAGCGCACATAAGATATATACATATGCTTAAGCCGTCAATGGAAATTCCTTCAGGGCTTGTTTTCCACTGCACTTTCGAATAATTTGTTTGAGTAAATGTTAAAAAGTTATGGTGAAAGGATGCAACCCTGTCTGACACTCCTTTTAATTCGAACTTCGTCCGACATCCGTTGATCTACCTTAAGTTGTACAGTTTGGTTCCAGTAAAGATTTGAAACTGTTTTGAGGTCTCTATCGTCCAGGCCTACGTATATAAGGGTTTTCCTAAGCTTTTCATGTTGCATCTTGTCAAACGCCTTCTCGTAGTCTATAAAACGCATAAACAAGATCAGAGACATTCCTGCACCTCTGAACGAAGAGATTATTTAAGATTTTAATTACCTCCGAGTAAATTCAATCTGGACCTTCATATCTTTTGTTGTTTTTAACAGCGAGACTGCATGTTGGACTTCTCCCTTAGTTATATCTACCCCTTCGCGTGTATATTGTTCAGGAGTGTGCAATCTTTCACCCTGAAAAAGGTCTTTGATATAGCTATACCACTCTTCTGCTTTGTCGTTAACGTCAAGAATTCAAGAGAAAGTCATATTTAGCATCCAGATCTTCGATTTCGCGATATTGCTCGTTGAGCCAGTTTTCTTTGGCCATTCTAATTTTGTTCTTTATTTCACGATTCATCTGATGGTATTCCAAATAACCTTTTTTCAAGCGTCTCTCTTCCATTAAATAAATAATGTCACCAGTCATCCAAGCTTTCTTTTTGATTTTTGTATCGTTTAAAGATAATTTCGAGCTTGCGTTTGTGAAAGCCTTCCTGATGTTGGTCCAGACTGTCTCTGCCTCGGATTCTCCCCGACGTTGACCATACTTAGTCCACAATTTAGTTCGTTCCTGATCCCAGCTAACGTTTCTGGGTTTTCAGTCTTGTCAGGACGGGTCTAGGGCAGTTTCTCTTTTCTGTACACCTTTATAGTTCGGAGACAACTTATTTTAATGATAACTTTTTTATTAAACAACGAAATACATAACCTACTATTAGAAATGGCCACCTTCA